TCCCCACTCACCCCGGGTTTTGTCCATCTCCATGCGGCGCAGGCGGTGCTCCCACGTGCCCAGCTCGCTGTCCACCTCCTCGTCGCTGTCGTAGCCGTGCTGGTGCTGCTGCAGCGCCCGCTCCCACAGCAGCTGCATCTCCTGCATCGCCCGCTTGTGCTTCATGATCATGTCATACATCTGCTGCATCTGGGGGAGAACGGGGGAAACGGGGTCAGGACGGGGCAAAAACGGGAAAAATGGGGGAAAAATGGGAAAAAACGGGGTCAGAATGGGGGAAAAATGGGAAAAAACGGGGTCTCAAGGACTCACCTCCTGCTGCTCCTTCAGCTGCTTCTTCTGGGCCTCGGAGAGCTCCGTGACCCCCACCAGCCCCACGGGTTTGCCCTTCTCATACCCCAGACCCTTCAGGTCCTGAACTGCAGGGAAAAAACAAAAAAAAAAAATCAACAGGGAAAAACCTTGGGGAAAATCTGGGAGATCAGGAAACAAAATCAAATCCCAGCTTGGGAAGGACCTTGAGGGTCATCCCATTCTTCCTTCCCTTATCCCAAACCTGGCTGTGGGTGATTCCAGGGATGGGGTGTTGCCATTCCCAGGAGATTTAGGGAATTTGAGAACTTTAGGATTTATCTGGAGGGGTTTGGGAGTCACAGGAGGGGAAGAAGCTCCTTCCTTGCCAGATCTGAGAATTCCCAAAACTCTGCTTTAAAAATCCTGATCCCAGATTTTGTGTGGACACTCCCAGGACTCACAAAATCCATTCCAAAAATCCTTTTTTTCCATAGGAATTCCCTCCTCAGGTGAGGCCAAACCAACCCCAAAAAGTGGGAATTAATTATCCAGGACCCATTCCTGAATTCCCAGGACCCTCCACAGCAGCTTTATCCCAAAAGAAAAAAAAAAAAAACAAAACAGGAAAATAAATCCAGGAGCAGGATAATGCTGCAATTCCCAAGGGAAATTCCAGTTTCAGGAAACTCCTCCCTTGGAATTCTTGTGGCTGTTGGATGAGATAAAACCTGGAATTGGATATTCCCAGGATGGAAGAGGTGATCCCAGGTTCAGAGAGGGATAAAAGGGAATAAGAGGGTGGGAAAAGGAAAAGAAAAAAAAAAAAAAAGGAATTCCGCTTGTAATTACTGTGAAGGGAAAGTAAAAAAAAATGGGATTGGCAGCAGGGATTCCTTGGGAAAACGGATCCATGTCCATCCGAGGAAATCAAAACCCACCCAAATTCCCAGGAAAAGCCAATCCCACTGACCTGAGAGGGGAGAGGGAGAATCCAGCTGCTGCACCAGCTGTGGCAGGGGCAGCTCCACCTTCTCCTCCTCGGGCCCCCAGCGACTCTTCCTCTTCTTTTTGGTGCTGCCCGGGGCGGGATTCGGGATCGGGGCGGGATTTGGGATCGGGGCGGGATTCGGGGTCAGCAGGGCGGGATTCGGGATGGCAGCCGGGTTTGGGATCGGGCTGGGATTTGGGATCGGGGTGGGATGATTTGGGGCCGGCTGATCCGGAGGGGAGGCGGAGGATGAGGATGGGGCGGGAGCGGCCGAGGGAATGGGAAGAGCATTGGGAATAACGGGAGAGGGAACGGGGAGAGCCGGAGGAGGCGGGATGGGAACGGGGAGAGGGGGGAAGCACAGCGGGGAGGGAGCGGCCTCGGGGCTGCCTTTGCGTTTGAGGCTGGATTCTCCGGGAAAAGGAGGATTCCCAGGAAAAGGGGGATTCCCGGGAAAAGGGGGATTCCCGGGAAAAGGGGCGGCGCCGCGGGCCCTGCGGAACTCCTCGAGCTTCTGGCGGTAATAGCGGTGCCCTTGGCTGTGGGGCTCGTACAGGAACCTGCGAACAACGGGAGCCTCAGCCTGCAACTCCCAGAACATTCCCAGATCTCCAGCCCTACTCAGAGCTGGGATCCAGCACAGTTTTCCCAGGAATTTTCCGTCCTGCAATTCCCAGAGCATTCCCAGCTCTCCAGCTCCCTCCCGTGTATCCCTGCATCCAGTGAAACTCCCACTGGGATCAGGGAATGGTTTTGGTGCCACACAAACACAATTCCCTGGAGGAAAAACAGCCCCAAAAATCAGGAATTCCCTGTACCTGAAGGCAGGGTTTTCCCTGTGCTCTGCTCCCACCTCCGTCCAAAACCTGCATCCCAAATCTGAGCCCCTCAACTCTCACTGCTCCCAAACCTCATCCTGAGAATTCCCTGTGGATTCCCTGCGGATTCCCTGGAAAAGCAGCCCCGGAAGGAGGAGTTTCCCGCACCTGAAGGCAGGGTTGTCCCTGTTGTTCTGCAGGGCGATTTGCTCCACCTCGGGCCCCCCAGCGGCCACGAACTGCGCCAGCTTCTCGGCAGAGCTCCGCGTCTCCGCGTCGGCTGGGGGGGAAACTTTAGGCACGGATTAGTCCTGGGCCCAGCTCACCCCAGCCCAGCCTAACCCGGCCTAAGGACACCAGTGAGGCCTAAAGGCGGGTTTAAAGGGGAAGAAATTGTACAAAAACAGTTAAATAGCACAAAAGTTTTAGCTCAGACCCAAGTTTGGGAGCTGGGATGGGGCCTAAAGATCCCGGTGAGGCCTAAAGTTGGGTTTAAAGGGGAAGCAGTGGCACCAAACGAGTTAAACAGCACAAAAGCTTCAGGTTAAACCTGAGCTTGGGGATCACGGATGGGAGAGATGACATAAAGCTGCTTTGAGTCCCCAAATCCCAAATTTTCCCAGTGCCAGGCACTTTCCCATAGGATTAAACCACCTGGAATTATCCACATTGAAGGATTTTGCCCCTGAATTGCCCAGGAACAGCAGGAAATCCTTTGGAAAACTCCAAATTCCCATAATCCCATTTATTCTCCTCCCAGTGCACCCCTGGAAGTTGTTCCAGGGAAAAATCCCTCTGGAAAAACCCAAATCTCACCTGGAGAAAGGTGTGGATACTCCAATCCCCAAATTCTTATTTGGAACAAATCCAACAAAAACTGGGGGGGTGAAAAATCCCCTTTCCTTAAATGTTCTTAAATTTTCAGTGCTGGAGAATTATTTTGGAATATTTTTGACAACTGCAAGGAAAATCCCATTCAAAATCCCAGGAATATTTTGGGAATCCACATTTTTGGCACAAGGATTTGATTCTTCTTCCAGTTAGGAATTTTCTTTCCAGGCAATCAAAATTTCCGCCCCAAACAAATCCCAAATTTCCCTTGTGCTGTTCCCATTCCCCAGATTTTAGTGGGAATTACCTTTCTGGGAAGAGGCTGCCTGGGAGTTTTGATTTTCTTTCCTTATTTCTGCCACTTTCTTCCTGTAGTAAAGGAATTCCCTGCTGTTCTTATCATGCAAAAACCTGGAAAAAAGGGAGAAAAAAAAAGAAAAATAATTATCCAAATATTTATATTCAGAGATAGGAAAAGCTCCAACTCCCACAGGGAATAATGGAGGAATTACTGAGAATGCACCTAAAATGTGGAATTAGAATTTGGGAGTTTCAATTCAAGGATTTGCATCCAAATTTTTGTTGCTTCAAAGGAAATTAAGGAGGAATCCTCTGCCCACCAGTGCTGGGATTAAAAAAACTTTTCACCTTCTCAAATCCAAACTTTTCCTCCTCTGGGAAAAACAAAGAACTCAAAATTTCCCTCTGAAATCCAAACCTTCTGTCCCCCCCAAATCCCAATTTTCCTCCCTCAGGGAACAACAACCACCCCAAACTTTTCCCCCTCCCAGGGAACACCCCCCAGACCCCATCCCTGCCCCTCTCCCTTTCCTGGCAGGAACAATCCCACCCCAAACTCACGAAAAAGCAGGATTGTCCTTGTAGTCCTCCATGGCGACCTTCTCGAGCTGGGGGCCGCCCTCAGCCACGAACCTGGCCAGCTTTTCCACCACCTGCCTGGTCTCCGAGTCCTCTGGGGGCAAAACTTTAAGGAGGCTGTCAGTACTTGGGGTTCAACTTCCCCCACAAACGGGAAACAGGGAATTACTGCCGAAAAGCACGGAGCAGACACATGGGAATATGGGAAGAGAAAGGATGAAATGGGGCAGGTAGTTGTAGAAAGGTGTTCACATCATCATTTTTGATTTTTCTGAGCTTTTTCCCCTTAGGGTCTAGGCTGAGGTGGGATTAAATATCATCCCATTCCCACGTTTTCTGTTGTCCCAACCTTTCCTTGGATGCTTCCAGGGATGGGGTGGCCACAGCTGCTCTGGGAATTCCAGCCCTGCCCCTCCTCACTCTCCTAGCCAGGAATTCCTTCCCAAAATCTCACCTAAATCCACCTTCCTTCAGTTTAAATCCATTCTCTGTGTCTTGGAATTCCTATCCCTTGTCCCAAATTCCTCTCCAGCTGTCCTGGAGCCCCTTTAGCCTCTGGAAGCAGCTCCAAGGTTTCCATGGAATTTCTCTGAACCCCACTCCATTCCCTGCTGGGGCTGAGGGAATCCTGCCCCACTGATCCCCTATCCCAGGATCTCAACCCCAATCCCAGAACCTGATTCCTACTCCACTCCCTGCTGGGACTGAGGGAATCCTGTCCCAAAATGATCCCTGTCCCAGGATAAATCCACCCAATTTCCCACTGGGACTGAGGGAATCCTATCCCAAACTGACCCCCAATCCCAGGACCTGACCCCCACCCCATTCCCTACTGGATCTGAAGGAATCCTGCCCCCACTGATCCCCAATCCTAGGATGGCCATTCCCAGCTCCAGCCCCAGAGCAGGAGCTGCCACTGACCTTTAATTTCCAGCCACTGCTCGTAATCCTCCTCCTCCTCCTCATCCGGGGCCTGGAAGACGCTGAGGCGGCTCAGGCCGGGGCTGGCTTTGGGCTGGGAGAGGCTCCGGGCCTGCAGCATCCGGCTCAGGGCCTGGCCCGGCCGCTTGCCCAGCAGCGCCGGCTTCTTCCCGGGGTTTGGGGCACTCCGGGAATTGTTGGGGGCATTCGGGGCAGGTTCTGTGGAGAAAACAAAGAGAAATTATTCCTGGGAATCTTGGGTTTGGGTTGGGAAAGGCTCCAGGCCTGGAGCACTCAGCTCAGGGCCTGCTCCGGCTGCTTCTTCCCAAGGTTTGGGGCTGGGGCATTCCCGGAGTTGTCTGAGGGATTTGGGGCAGTTTCTGAGGGGAGAATGAAAGGAAATTCTTCCCGGGAATCCTGGGGTTTGGGATGGAGCATTCCTGGAATTGTTGGGGACATTTGGGGCAGTTTCTGGGGAGAAAATAAAGAGAAATGATTCTTGGGAATCCCAAGTTTGGTGTGAGAACGGCTCTGGGTCTGCCCTGGCCGCTTCTTCCCAAGGTTTGGAGCTGGGCCATTCGGGGCAATTTCTGAGGGGAAAATGAAGGGAAATTATCCTTGGGAATTCTGGGCTTGGGCTGGGAAAGGAAGGACCTACCAGCATTGGATTTTTCCCTCTGGAGCTTCAGGAATTGCTGCAGGAAGCTCCCATCGTTCACAAACTTGTTGGACACGGAGGCCTCGTTCTCAGAGCCGTCATCACTGAGCGGGGACAGGAAAACAGGAGCTGGGATTTGGGATCTTCCCGGCCCTTCCCATGTGGGATTTGGCACAGGAAAAACTCCTGGAATTGGTCACTTTCCTCACCTACCACTAAATTCCCAAAAGTACCCCCAATCTCCTTCCTCCTTCATTAAAATTGGTATTTTCCTCCCTTTGCTCCACTAAAACTGGGATTTTCCTTCCCCGCCCTGTTAAAATTGAGATTTTTGCTACCTAATCCACCAAAGCCGGGATTCTCCTCCCTCTGCTCCCCCAAAACGGAGATTTTTCCTTCCTTGCTTCATTAAAATCAAGACTTTCCTCCTTCTGCCCCACCAAAACTGGGATTTTCCTTCCTTGCTCGGTTAAAATCAGGATTTTGCTCCCTCTGCCCCAGCAACACCGGCATTTCCCCCCCCAGCTCCCCGTCCCAACCGCCCGGTTTTCCAGCGGCATTCCCGGGATTCCCTCGTACTCTCCGAGCAGCGGGAGCTGCGGGATGCTGAGGGAATTCTGCCGCGCCTGCTGCTCCAGCCGCGCCTCGATCTCCCGTTTTTTCTGCGCGATCAGCTCCTCCTGCTGCAGGATGTTCACGCTCGTCTTGGCCGACTTGGACTGGGACACGCCGAACCACCGGCTGGCCTTTCCTGGGGAAAAAGGTGGGGATGAGCACGGGAATTGTCGGGAATCGGGGACCGTTCCCTGAGGGAAAAAGGGCAGGAATTAGTATGGGAATTGTCAGGAATCGGGGACCGTTCCCTGAGGGAAAAAGGGCAGGAATTAGTATGGGAATTGTCAGGAATCGGGGACCGTTCCCTGAGGGAAAAAGGGCAGGAATTAGCATGAGAATTGTCAGGAATCAGGGACACATTCCCTGAGGGGAAAAAGGCAGGAATTAACAGGGAGCATCCCAAATTCAGGAGCTCATTCCTTCAGGGAAAAGGGCAGGGAATTGTCAGGAATCGGGGACCATTCCCTGAGGGAAAAAGGCGGGAATTAAGAGGGATCAGCCCAAATCAAGGGTCACAATCCCTGAGGGAAAAAGGTGGGATTAGAGTAGGGACCTTCCCGAATTCCTTTAGGAACAGAAGGGAAATCAATGAGGAAATCATCCCAAATCAGAGCTCGCATTTCCCACGGGAAAAGAGGGGAGATTTACACGGGATCATCCCCGTCGCTCTCTCTGTAGAAAAGGGAAGGAATAAACTGTGGGATCATAACAAACTCAACTTCCCTACATTAAAGAGAAGAAAAAACATCAACAGTGGGGTCTCCACGAACCACCAGCTCAGCATTCCTATGGGAAAAAAAGAGAGGGAACGAACAGTTGAGTTTCCTGTGGGAAAAGGAGAGGAAAAATCAACAGTGGAGCCTCCCGGAACGACCGGATCTGCTTCCCTGTGGGAAAAGAGGAGGAAAAATAACGGGGAGACCACTCTGGACCCCAGGCTCGGCTTTGCTGAGAAAAGGGAGGGAAATTAACAGAGGAACCATCCCGATCCAGCAGCCCGGCTTCTCTGCGGGAAAATGAGCCCGGAATGAAGGCGGGGATCCATCCCGAACTCCCGGCTCGGCTTCGCTGATGGAAAAAAGGGGGGAATTTAATGGGGGAGCCTCCCCCAGCCCCCAACTATGCCGGCACACCTCTACCCCCGGTTCCCGGAGCTCCGCAGGTGGTAGGGCCGAGCCAGGGGATGGCAGCGAGGTGGGAGCAGCGGAGCAGAGCCCCGGGAGGGCCGGGGCAGGGCCGTGACCGGCGGGAGGCGCCCGGGCCGGGCCGTACCTGGCGCATCCCTATGGTTGTCCATTTTGGAGCCCCCGTCCCAGCGTGCCCCGCGCCGGGCGCGCCGCGCCGGGGCCTCGCCGCCGCAAACGCCCCTGGGAGGTGTAGTCCCTCCTGGGGGCCATCGCACAGCTCTCGCCTCTCCTCCCTCCGCACCGAGCCCAGCTCCGGAGGCAGCCGAGCCACCCAGCTCTGGCGGCTCGGCCGCTAAGGTCGTTCCCCGGTTCGCCTCGCATCCTAGCGGTGCGAAAAGGCGGACTACAACTCCCATATCCCCTCAGCTCCTGAGGCGATCGGACTCCAAACCCCGTCGTGCCCCGCGCCTCTCGGCGGTGTTGTCGGCGGCCCCAAGATGGCGGCGGTGGCGGCGGGCGCGGCGGCCCCTCAGCAGCCGCCGCCGCCTCAGCAGCCGCCGCAGCCGGCGGGAGGCGGCGGGAGCGGCTCTGGGGAGGCAGCGGGAGCCGCGGGTGGGGCCGGAGGCAGCGGCGGAGGTGCCGGAGGTGGCGGCGGCGCAGCCGGGCCTGCACCGGGCTCGGCGTCGGGCGGCGGCGCGGCCGCGGGCGAGTCGTGGTACCTGGCTTTGCTAGGCCTGGCCGAGCATTTCCGCACGTCCAGCCCGCCCAAGGTGCGGCTGTGCGTGCACTGCCTGCAGGCCGTGCTGCCCCGCAAGCCCCCGCCCCGCATGGAGGCCCGCACGCACCTCCAGCTCGGCTCCGTCCTCTACCACCACACCCGCAACGGCGACCAGGCCCGCGGGCACCTGGAGAAGGCGGTGAGCGGGGCAGGGGGCCAGGATGGGCTTGGGAAGGGGAAGCGGGAGGTGCCAGAGCACGGAGGAAGGGTTGGGGGTGGTGAGGATGGGGGTCTGGGCACCTGGAGAAGGTGAAGAGTAGGGGAAGGGGCGGCCAAGGGGGTGCTGGCAGCTGTAAAAGACGAGGAGCAGGGAAAGGGGCGGTGGGAGGCTCCTGGCACTGGTACCAGGGAGGTTCTGGTGGGTGTTGGTGCCAGCCTAACCCGCTGTGTTCTCTTGCAGTGGCTGATATCCCAGCAGGTATCCTTTTCCTGGGATCCAGGAACGGCTCCGAGCTCGGAACAACTCCAAGGAGATCCCAAAACACTTTCAAGGGCTGGGAGTGGGGGCATGGAATGTGTGTTTTTCGTCTACTTTGGCACTGTTTTCACGGAACCACGGAGTTTGGGTTGGAAGGGGCCTGAAATCCCATCTGATCCCAATTTTCCTGAGGGTTTTTGGAGGTTTTGCTGCTGTTTTCCACCCGGGTTTTGTTGTTTCCTTAACCCTGGTCTCAGATCCCTCAGTTTGAAGATGTGAAGTTCGAGGCAGCCAGTTTGCTGTCAGAGCTCTACTGCCAGGAGGTGAGAGAAACAAACCCCCAAAACCCCTCTGTGCCCTTTGAATTCGGGTTAGGAATGGGATATTCCCCTGAAAAACCAGATTGCTGGGATGAGAGGCTTTTCCCCTTTCTTTCTGAGGAAGTTTTTGCTGGAATTGCAACAAGGGTTTCCTACTGCAAAGGGATTTTGCTTGGTTGAAGGAATTTTTTAGTTCTCGTTGAACAAATGCTGGTTTTAGGGAAGGGAGAGAGGGAAATCCAGGGTTTTCCTCAGGGTTTTGGAATCCTGGAGTGATTTGGGCTGGAAAGGCCCTGAAGGATCACCCCTCCCCCTATCCCAGGATGGGGCAGCCCCAGCTGCTCTGGGAATTCTATCCCAGCCCCATCCCACTCTTCCAGGGAGGAATTCCATCCCAAAATCCCACCTGAGAGGAAGCTGGGAAGCCATTTCCTCTGTTCTGTCCCTCCATTCCTTGTCCACAATTTTCCTTTCCATGTTTTAGGCTCCTTCCTTGGAAAGCCCCAGTTGGATCATCCCAAATTTTGAGTCATTAGGAAGTTGAGCTGCTTTCTTGGGATTTTGAATCCCAACATCCTGGAATGACTTGGATTGGAAAAACCTTCAATCCCATCCAATCCCACCCTTCCGTGTGCAGGGACACTTCCCAAAATCCCAAATTTCTGCGATCCCATCCATCCCTACCTTGCACATCCCAAGGACAGAGCGGCCCCAAACTTCTCCCATTTTATTTTGGTTGCTTCCAGCACTTCAGTCCCTCCCTCCTCAGCGTGCTTGTCCAGGGGATTTCGAGGCTGTGGAATCCCAGGGTGCTGGATTGGTGTTGATTTGGGATGTTTGTGTTGCAGAATTCCGTGGACACGGCCAAGCCCCTGCTGCGCAAAGCCATCCAGATCTCCCAGCAAACGCCCTACTGGCACTGCAGGCTGCTCTTCCAGCTGGCTGTGAGTCCTTGCAGCACCAATTCCATGGAAAAAATCCTGGAAAAAATCCTCTATTGCCATTAGAAACAGCACGGAAGCCTTTTTTTGTTATCCCTTACAAAATCGCTGTTATTGGGTGCTTTTTATCCCCTTATCCCCTCAAAATTTGCTGTTCATGGGGAGGGAAAAGGCAACTCCAAGCTGGGAATTGGTGTCGGGAGCCTCTGGATTGGATCAGGGAATCAGCCAGGGGCACTCTGTGGGAATGAAGGACCTGGAACTCCAAGGATGGAGTAAAAAAAAATCCATTTGGGGGCTGGCAGATCCTGCTGGGATTGGAGTTTTCTGGTTGACTGGGTTGTTTTCTGTTTTAATTAGGGGTGGGGGGTGGGAGGAAGAGTAGGAAAAGTATCCAGAAAAAGGAGCAAGGGAAAGGAATCCCAAGGAAAATTATTTTTTCTGGTCTGGAGCTTACTCCAAAATATTTATAAATCAAAAATATTTTTAAGAATAGAAGCACATCCAAGTGTATTTATGGAAAAAGAATTTTAGGAATATTTAATTTCTTGGGAATTGAGGAATATTTAGTTTTCCAGGAGTTCATCCTGAGCACTCAGAAAGTTTTCCTCTCCTTGGAGCTTCCCATTTTTCCCTGATTTCCCATTTCCTTGGAACCCGTTCTCCTCTTCCTGAATTCCCACCTGAGTTCGGGAAAGGGAGAAAATTTGGGAACAAACCTTGGGGGCTCCTCTTGCTGGGAAAATTCTTGTTCCAACGTGATAATCCATGGATTTTTTGGAGCCTTTGGGAATTGGAATTTTCACCCTTTGCAGGATCTGCTTCCAATTTTTAACCAATTTCTCATTCATTAAGAATTTTAAGGGAAAAAGAAAAAATCTTCCTGGGCTCAGACAAATCCTTGGAAACGCCAGAGATTTCTTTGGAAAACGGATCTAAAACCCCTTTAAGGAGCAGGAATCTGTAAATCCAAGGATAATCAGATCTTTTGGGGATTCAGGGAGCAAATCCTGAGTTTTTATGGCTTTTTTTTTCCTGCTGTTGCAGCAACTGCACACGCTGGAGAAGGATTTGGTGTCGGCCTGTGACCTGCTGGGAGTGGGGGCCGAGTACGCCCGCGTGGTGGGCTCCGAGTACACCAGGTGCTGTTCCTGCCCCAATTCCTGGGGTTTCCTGCATCCCCAGATTCCCTGGGATTTCCTGACACAATTCCTGGGGTTTCATCCCCAAATTCCTGGGATTTCCTGACACAATTCCTGGGATTTCCTGACACAATTCCTGGGGTTTCATCCCCAAATTCCTGGGATTTCATCTCCAAATTCCCTGGGATTTCATCCCCAAATTCCTGGGATTTCCTGCCCGAATTCCCTGGGATTTCCTCTTTGACTTCCCTGCTAATTCTTCCATCAGCTCCCTTAATCCTCTTTTTTCCCGGTTTTTAAAGGGAGAAAAAGGCAGATTTTTATTTTTTTCCTGGTGGGTTTTTTTTGGTTGTGTTTTTTTTTTTTCCTTTAATTAATTAATGTATTTTAAAATTTTTTTAAATTTTGGGTTTTTTTTGTTGCTCAAGTAATTTCTTTTGGAATTTCACTTTATTCTGTTTCATTCCAGAGCTCTCTTCCTGCTCAGCAAGGGGATGGTGAGTTGGAAGTAATTTTTAAATAAATTATTTCCTGTTTAATTAATTAATTAAGAGGATTTTTTAAGGGGGGGCGGGATAAGCGGGATTCTTACAGATAAGTTTTGCTTTATTCCCTCATTTTTTTTTCTGGGAAAGATAGAAGGATCACTGCAGATTTTCAGTGGAGCTTTTATAATGAGGAATGGAAATTTTATAATGAGGGTGGGGTGAAAGGGCTGTGGGATTTGGGTGAATATTCCAGAATTCCTGGAATTAGAGAATCCATGGAATTGCTTGGGTTGGAAAATCCAACTTTCCCAGTCCCAGGGATAGGGAACCCTAGAGATGAAACAACCACAATTCCCGTGGGGTAAATGCCAATTCCCTGAATGTTTATCCTGAAAAACCCCCTTGTATTCTCATTTTTTTTTGTTATTTTGGGGATTGCAGCTGCTGCTGATGGAGAGGAAGCTGCAGGAGGTTCACCCGCTGCTGACCCTGTGTGGGCAGATCGTGGAGAACTGGCAGGGGAATCCCATCCAGAAGGAATCCCTCAGGGTCTTCTTCCTGGTCCTGCAGGTCACTCATTACCTGGACGCTGGCCAGGTACGTGCCACGTTCCAGATGGGAATTTGGGACGGGGAGAATTCCAGAAAAAATCAGCCCTGAGGGGATTTTTGGGGGATTTTTCTATGAGGGAAGTGAATTCCTGTGGGTTTCCATCCCCAGTTAAACCAAGAGTGAGGGGATTAAATTAATTTGGAGATGCTGTCCACGATATTTGTATGTCCAAGGTGGGTTTTGTTATTCCCTCCACTACCCCATGGAAGCAACAGGAATTTTTTGGGGAGATTTTGGGAATATTTGGAGCATCTCTTGCTGCCGATCACACTGCGAAGTGCAGATTGTCATTAATCCTAAACCAACCCAAAACTCTGATCCAAAGCCCTAAATATGGGAATGACCAATCACACGTTACCAGGTACGTGCCTCGTTCCAGATGGGAATTTGGGGCGGGGAGAACTCCCGACAAAATCAGCCCTGAGGGGATTTTTTGGGGGGAATTTTTTTATAAGAGAAGCGAATTCCTGAGGGCTCCCATCCCCAGGTGAAGAAGCAGCCAGGGCTTGGGGAGTTTGGGGCAGTTTTGGGGCAGCTTGGAGCAGTTTTGGGGCAGTTTTGGGGCAGTTTTGGGGCAGTTTGGGGCAGTTTTGGGGCAGTTTGGAGCAGTTTGGGCAGTTTGGGGCAGTTTGAGGCAGTTT